GAGGTCTAGTGATTTAAGTTTAAAATTACTTAAAATATAAAAAAATATAATATAAATGCATTTTATTTGTACAATAATGCCAAACCTTTAAAATGACTAGATTAACTTAAATAAATATCCATTGTTAGTATAAAATTGACGCCTTAGAAAAGCATGCGCCTCTGAAGCGTATGGTTATCTTTTACGTACGTTGTCGTATGGTTATCTTTCTAGGGTTAAATGAAAAGATACCGTTCAATTGTGATTAGTGTTACCATTAACTCGATCTTTTTGAAAAAGTGACTTATGCCACTTTCAAAATAAACGGCGAAATATGTGAATGGAGAGGAAGGAGGCGAGTCGCACAGTAGTTGGAAATCCCCCAAACGAGACGTTACAGCGAATTCGCTCTAATTGACGCTTAGGTCGTACACAAAAATGTACAATTTGAGGAGGACTGATACGATTATTCGAGCCTCGCGGCTTGTTTTTGTGGTTTCTAATTGGTAAAAACTGTAAAAACGAGACGCGAGGCTCCAAAATCGTATCCCCTCTTCCCAAATTGTCCATTTTGTGCACAGTCTGTGCGTCGATTAGAGAGAATTTGCTGCAATTGATTTTCTCCGGTCGCAAAAAGTCGTATCGTCTTTTTTATTATAGCGTTCATTTGTGTCCAGTTTTGATCGCGAAACAAAAAGTCGATGGAATTGCCTTGATTATAAGTAAAAAAGCTATGTCGGTGTTAAAATTTGCTTTTGTTTCGCGCATCGCGAGAAATAATGTCTGTATGCTAAAACTTGTAAAGATGAAGAATTAGTCGCAGAAATAAGAAAAAACGGGAAAATTATTCCAAATTTGTGGTCATATTTCTCACAATGTCAATTATAGGGTCTCAATTATAGATAAAGAATATTAATAATTCCCATTAAAATTTGTGTTCTTATTTATTTCGTCAACTTAACATAAATTACTTACCTCGGCGCGTAATATCTTTACGACAAAACTTTAAAGAATCAAAGATTTTACAGGATTTCCTTTACAAGATTTTTAGGACTAACAAAAAAATCGATAGAAATTTCTTTCCAAACAGCGCACATATCTCATTCGTTTTTCACATCAGCCGTTGTTTCAACGTTGTATCATAATCTACGACCGACTTCAACGTACTTCGAACACTTTCTAAAACGATCTTTCCATCGCAAACGAATTGTTGCCACGTTTTAGGAATTTCCAACCATTTTGCGTCGTTCCGTCTCTTCTTTCGTCGGAAACGATTCACCGAAAATCTCGCCTGTGCTCGTCGCAGACCGTCAAAATGGCTCCGGTAGAGAGAGAGAGGATCGGTCCTCGATCGAGTTTAGCCCATCCTTCGTTCATAGAATTTCGCCGATCGAGAGCAGAGAGAACAACTTGGCGTCGTTTCTGAAGGCCCGGCCGGTTCAGTAGCATAAAAATGTCGACAGTGTTTAGAGTACAGAGAATAGAAAAATTTGTAGAGAGCCTAGAAAGTATAGTGTGAGGACCGAGACCCAATAACCTGCCGATCCTCGTAGCGCTCCTTTCTCTGTCTATGTGGCGTTGTTGTTGTTGTTGTGTTGCATGCAGGAGGCCGGCTAGTACCTGGCGGGATCGCTAGTCCCCCGGGATCTGGCGGCTCGACCGGAAACACCGGGAACTCGAACTCGGCGGCTGCGAGACGCGGCAATCGCAGACTCACGCGCAATGAGAGCCGCTATCATTCCGGTGAGTACATCACAGCTGGACGAGCAAACGGTCCGAGCGCGAGCCCGAGCCCGAGCCCGAGCCCGAGCGCGAGCGCGAGTGCGCAACGATAAATAAGCTATGGAAAAGAAAGCAGAAAGAACCGTTTAACGGGTCCTTAACCCTCGAACGACGCCGGCTATACTCGTATATGCACACTTTTAACGACTGCTTGTTCAAAGTATAGAGAGCCTGAACGTTCACCGGACACCCAGCTGAATCGGCTTCATCCTGCGAGTGCTGTCTTGTCTTCGACTTTCGTTCCGCGTTGTGTCGTCCCGTCGATGCGATACCGACTTTTCTCGAGTACCTTGTCCTTTCTCGCAAAACAACAACGATGCTCGAGTACACGCGTGTCGCTTCAGTTCAACAGGCTTGCCTTTTTAGATGACACGAGCGACTTTAACCCCTTGTCGTATACCATCTTCTTCGGATTTACGACGATCAGAACACCTTCGCGGTGTGATAATTTCTTGCAAGCGGAGTGCGTGGCCTTGGGGTCAACAATTTCTTTCTTTTCTTTTTTGACACCGTGACGATTGTCCGTTTTGTGTACAGTCTGTGCGACGATTAGAGAGAACTTGCTGTAATTGGTTTCCTGCGGTCGCAAAAAGTCGCAACTTTTTTTTTTATTATAACGTTCATTTGTGTCCAGTTTTTGATCGCGAAACGAAAAGTCGATGGAACTCGAAGGGCCTTTATTATAAGTAAAAAAAAGTATGTCGGTGTTAAAATTTGCTTTTATTTCGCGCATCGCGTAAAATAATGTCTGTACGATAAAACTTGTGAAGATCAAGAATTAGTCGCAGAAATAAGAAAAAATAGGAAAATTGTTCCAAATTTGTGGTCATATTTCTTTATGGCTTTACGGCTAATTTGACCTGTAAATCAAAAATTTAGCGAAGGGTCTCAATTATAGATAAAGAAAATTGATAATTCCCATTAAAATTTATGTTCTTATTCATATTGTCAACTTAACATAAAATATTTAACTCGACGCATTATATCTCTACGACAAAACTTTAAAGAATCACAGATTTTGCACAGGATTAACAAAAAAATCGATAGAAATTTCTTTTTAAACAGCATATATTTCAGTCGTTTTTCATATCAGGTCTTGTTCTCCCGCTTGAGAATACAGTAAATTCTTCGCAACTTTCCTTCAGCTTGTAAACAAAACTGGAGAATTTGGGAAGTGCGGCTCATTTTTACCTGCCATGAACATGTAAATAATTACAAAAGCGAAGTGCAAGATTCGAATAATCGTATCTCCTCTTCCCAAATTGTCCGGTTTTGTTTAGAAGCTGAAGGAAAGTTAGGGAGGATTTACTGTATACAGGGTGTCCCAAAAATGTCTCGCAATCCGGAAATGGCGGGTTCCTCGGATCATTCGAAGCAACTTTTTCCTTAGCAGAAATGTTCTACGAGGTTTCGTTTACGAATTATCAACGAAAAATGTTGGCCAATGAGAGGCGAGCTCGGCTGACGCGAGGCGGCCGAGCCAACGAGCGCAAGAAGCCCAGTTCCGCTCATTGGCTCGGCCACTTCGCGCCAGCTGAGCTCGCCTCTCATTGGTCACTGTTTTTCGTTAATAATTCGTTAACGGTGGCTCGGAGAAAATTGTTGTAAAGGAAAAAGTTGCTTCGAATGACCCGAGGAACCCGCCACTTTCGGATTGCGAGACATTTTTGGGTCACCCTGTATACCTATACCGTTATAGGAGCTGATGCACGTCGCTGTGCAAAAGTGAATTCGCACTGTTTAAAACTCAATTATTTCTTTAAAATTGAATCAAATGATCTGAAATGTTTGTAGACATCAGAGTGACTATTTGTGAAAATTATAATCGATTATTTAATAAACGGAACAAAAACGATTAAATAACAGAAAGAAATAAGAGATAACGCTCTTTTCAACAATGAATCTTGTATATCCTAGATATAATCTTAGATATTAAAAACACCAAGTTTTCACGAACTTCGTCCGAAAACATAATTTTGTACATCTTTCGCTCGCTACGCGTCACTTTCATTCCGTCTTTAAAACACAAAGCAACGTTCAGGTTTAACCCCTTAACGCGCAGAAACGTATTAACACGGGCGTGCAAAACCGGCCAAAATGTGCAGACCCCGTATATATACGGTCGGCGTCGCAACTTATGTCGCTAAAATGTTCAGATTCGAATATATCCGGGCAGTAAAAATAACTTAATAAAAACCAAGGAAAACATTCAATTTATTGATATTCATCGTGTAATTCTGTATTGTAAGCTGTAAAGTTTGTTTATTTGGGATTATAAAATATGGCCTTTTAGGGTGACACTTATAAGCATCTCTGACATGGTAATTGTTTCTATCTATCTATATCCATTATTGCGTATCTAATTAGCGTTGGCACTTTTGTCAGTTTTGTTACGACTAATTTATTTATTACTCTCCAGTTATCTCCGATCTCTTTCTATTTTTTGCTTATTCAGGAATAAAATATGCACTTTTAGGATGGCACTTATGAACATTTAGTGTATTATTCGTGAGCAAGTCGTGAAGTAAAGTAGACGTTATCAAAGTGAATTTCTTCAAAGACAATTGTTTTTTATTTTTTACAAATATTATTAGTGTCAACATATAAAAACGTTTTTGTTTTATGGTGTATTTTTATAGAGAGTAAATTGGATTTTTAGTGTATAAAAGGTATGTTTTCTAATGTTGAAATAAGGAATGTTGGGCTATGTGCTGCACCTTGTTTTGAAATTTACCATACAAAAGAAAATTTTGAATAGTTTTAGTTTATTATATATTTTTCAGCTAATAAATATTATTATTATATTATTACAAATTTAGGTAAA